TCAGTGACACCAAGTCAATTCCCCCCCCAGTATCAGAATGCCCGCCGCAGTTGCCGCCATCACTAGTAAAGAAATTTTTAAAAAGCATCCCGTATCTATACCGCCGTTTGTAGACGCTATAACTTTCACATAAATCATTGAATTTACCCGTATCGGGATTTTTAGCAAAGACATGGAGCAGAATACATTTTGGCCTAAATTTATGATGAAATCTGATTTTTTTATTTTTTACTGGACATGTTTAATAGCAAAAAGCCAAAAATATTTTTTTCTCAAAATTGACGGTCTTTTTTTTTTGTTATAGCGCAAAAATAAAAAGCACAGAGACGATCAAATACCACTAAAAAAAAGCTCTATTTGTGGGGAAATTGGTGTAAATTTTGTTTGCGTGCAGCGTTGCATGACCGCGCAATTGTCAGTCAAAGTAACGCAGCACCATAGCGCAAGAAATGGCCTGGCCAGGAAGGGGGGAAATCCTCTGGAGGGCCCGAGGGGGTTAATATTATTATAATATAATCAGAGGAGGGGTTCAGTGTGAAGGGAATAGGGGAGGAGATGGGGATTTGTGGGTGTGGTCCAGTCCTCCTGGTCCATGTGCCTGGGGGCGTGTCCTTCCCTCACCCTGTCCTGAGAGGTGTGGTGGGGAGGTGGGCGGTGCTCTCCGATCAGGAGGGAGGGGTGCTTTGTAGATTCTGCCATAGAACCGCACTGTCTATGGAAACTGCCATAGACACCGCACAGAGGAGAGGTTCGCCCACAACAAAGATGGCGGACTTCGCAGCAGCTGGCAGATACAATCAACTGATCCAATAGAGTGAAGGGGGAGGAGCTCTGTGTTCCTGGAGGAGATTTGTTCCATCTCGGGATCTGTAGATGTCAATGAAGACACGTGGAGGGAACCGGAGAGACACCGAGCATGGAGGGGGGGCCGACACTGACAGCGGGTGATCACCCCCAGCACTGTCACCCCACACTGATCAATCCCCTCCCAGCACTGTCCACTGGCCACTGATCATATCACCCCTCCCTAGCACTGCCACCCCCACGTTGATCAATCCCCACCCCCCAGGACTCCAGGACTGCCACTGCTTCCCCCCCCCCATTCCCCCGACTGCCAGTGATCACATGACCTCTCCCTAGCACTGCCACCTCCCACACTGATCAATCCTCACCCCCAGTGACTGCCAGTGATCATATCACCCCTTCCCAGCACTGCCACCCCCACACTGATCAATCTCCTGCACCTGGGTTCACATATATGCGGCGGTATATCACATGTGATTTGTGTGCTGTGTGATTATACCGATACATGTAGTATGACTGTAATCGCACCGCACCCAAAAACATGCAGAAACCCTTTTATGGGTCCGCACTAGAATCGGGTTGTATGGGTATTCACACCTGTCATCCGATTCTGCACATCGCACCGCGTTCTGTGGACCGATGTGGGGGTGTTATTAACTTACCATATACACCCGCAGCGGATCGCAGGAACGGGGTGCGATTCTGGTGCGGTGCGGAACTCACACAGAATGTGCCACTGATTCCCCCCCCACCCCCATCACTGCCACTGATTTCCCCCCCCCCATCACTGCCTGACTGATTCCCCCCCCCCATCACTGCCACTGATTCCCCCCCCCCATCACTGCCACTGATTCCCCCCCCCATCACTGCCACTGAGTTCCCCCCCCCCCATCACTGATTGCCCCCCCCCATCACTGCCACTGATTCCCCCCCCCATCACTGCCACTGATTCCTCCCCCCCCATCACTGCCACTGATTCTCCCCCCCCCCATCACTGCCACTGATTCCCCCCCCCCATCACTGCCACTGATTTTCCCCCCCCCATCACTGCCCACTGATTCCCCCCCCCATCACTGCCACTGATTCCCCCCACCCATCACTGCCATCCTGATTCCCCCCCCACATCACTGCCACTTTCCCCCCCCCCCATCACTGCCACCGTTTTCCCCCCCCCCATCACTGACCCACTGATTTGCCCCCCCCCCCCATCACTGCCACCTGATTTCCCCCCCCCCATCACTGCCACCGATTTCCCCCCCATCACTAGCCACTGATTCCCCCCCCCCCCATCACTGCCACTGATTCCCCCCCCATCACTGCCACTTGATTCCCCCCCCACATCACTGCACTGATTCCCGCCCCCCCCCCCCATCACTGTGGGCCCGATTCGCCCCCCCCCCCCCACTGGCCCCGATTCGCCCCCCAGCCCCCCCCGGCACTGGCCCCGCCCCGATTTCGCCCCCCCCCCCCACGGCCCCGATTCGCCCCCCCCACCCCCGAGCACTGGCCCGCGATTCGCCAACCCACCCCCACCCCCCCCCCCCCTGGGGCACTGGCCCCGATTTCCGCCCCCCACCACCCCCCACACCCCCGGACACTGCCCCGATGCCGCCCCCACCCACCCCCCCGGCACTGGCCCCGATTCGCCCCCCCCCCCCCCCCCGGCACTGGCCCCGATTTGCCCCCCCCCCCCCGGCACTGGCCCCGATTTGCCCCCCCCCCCCCCCGGCACTGGCCCCCGATTTGCCCACCCCCCCCACCCCCGGTCACTGGCCTACCGATTTGCCCCCCCCCCGGCCCTAACCGCCGGCACCCCCGATTTTGCACCCCCCGGCACTGGCCCCCGATTTTTCCCCACCCCCCCCCCGGCACTGGCCCTGATTCTTCCTTCCCCCCCCCCCCCCCGGCACTGGCCCTGATTCTTCACTTCCCCCCCCCCCGGCACTGGCCCTGATTCTTTCCTTCACCCCCCCCCCCCCCCCCCCCGGCACTGGCCCTGATCTTCTTCCCCACCCCCCCCCCGGCACTGGCCCTGATTCTTCCTTTCCACCCCCCCCGGCACTGGCCCTGATTCTTCCTTTTTTCCCCCCCCGGCACTGGCCCTGATTCTTCCTTTTCCCCCCCCAGCACTGGCCTGATTCTTCTTTTTCCCCCCCCCCCTGGCACTGGCCCTGATTCTTCGTCCTTTTCCCCCCCCCCGGCACTGGCACTGATTCTTCCTTTCCCCCCCCCCCCCCCCGCACCAACTGGCCCTGATTCTTCCTTTCCCCCCCCCCCCCCGGCACTGGGGGCCCTGGATTTCTTCCTTTTCTCCCCCCCGGCACTGAGGCCCTGATTCTTTCCTTCGCTTCCCCCCCCCCCCGGCACTGGCCCTGATTTTCCTATTTTTTCCCCCCCCGGGCACTGGCCCTGATCTCTTCCCTCTTGCCCCCCCCCCCGCTACTCGGCCCTGATCCCTTCCTTTTTCCCCCCCCGCCCCCCACCTGCACTGGCCCTATTCTTCCTTCTTCCCCCCCCCCCCGTCACTGGCCCTAGATTCTTCCCTTCTCCCCCCCCCCCCCCCCCAGCACTGGCCCGATTCTCCTTCTCCCCCCCCCCCCCAGCACTGGCCCCTGATTCTTCCATTCTTCTCCGCCCCCCCCCAGCACTGGCCCCGATTCTTTCTTCTTCCCCCCCCCCCCCCCCAGCCACTGGCCCCCGATTCCTTCCTTCCCCCCCCCCCCCCAGCACTGGCCCCGATTCATTCCTTCTCCCCCCCCCCCCAGCACTGGCCCCCGATCTTTCTTCCTTCTCCCCCCCCCCCACCCCCCGCACTGGCCCTGATTCTTCCTTCCCCCCCCCCCCCCCCCCCGTACTGCCACTCGATTCCCCCCCAGCATTGGTTTTCTGATTGCCCCCCCCAGCACTGGCCCTGATTCTTCCTTCTTCTCCCCCCCCCCCCCCAGCCACTGGCCCTGATTCTTCCTTTTCCCCCCAGCACTGCCCTGATTCTTCCTTCCCCCCACCCCCAGTACTGCCACTGATTCCCCCCCCCCAGCACTGGTTCTGATTGCCCCCCCCCCCCAGCACTGGCCCTGATTCTTCCTTTTTCCCCTGGCACTGGCCCTGATTCTACCCTCCCCCCCCCCAGTACTGCCCTATTATTTCTTCCATTATCTTTCTCCCCCGACCCCCCCCCCGCACTGCTACTGACCCTAAACCACACCCCCTGCTCAGTACCTGCGATCCAACCCCCCCCCCCCCGCCCCCAGTGTCTCCAGCATATAATGCCACTGATCTCATCTCACCCCCTCCCTCTCTCAGGTTGCAGAGTAAGTGGGGACATCCGGCAGAAGGCTTTGGATTATATAGAGAAGAATAATCTGGCTGATTTTCCCCGCCCCGTCCACCATCACATCCCCAACTTCAAGGTAACCACCCCCCCCCCCTCCTTTACCCCCAGTCAAGACATATTTCATATTAGATGGGGCAGGGGAAGGGTTAAAAGGATAAGTTCACCTTTTTAGGCAAAAATAATAAATGCACATTATTATTTTTTTTTTGCAGTTGTGAACGAGTGACGTGGCCGTGTGGGCGGAGCCCCGCATGCCCGCGCTGTTTTCAAATCTGACAGTACAGGAGAAGTCTCCCCGTACTATCTGTCAGAGGAGGGGGGGGATGCTGCACTCTGGGAGCATGTTATATGTTACATCCTAAAAAACAGGTGGAAAGGTGAACTTATCCTTTACAGCCCCTGCTAGCTGAGCCTCCATCATTGAAAGAACTGTAGTCCAATGAATGAAATGGGCGGGGCCAGGGACAGGCTGTGGAGGAAAGCGCTTAGATGATGCTGGACGTCCTCCAGCCAGGAAATGAGGCGGAGCTCTATCTGACTTGCTGCAGCTTCTAATGCACATTGTGGGAAGCTCACAGTGTGCAGTGAGATTAGAGAAAGTTCATTATTGGGTTTCACATTAATTAAAGAATATTTATATCAAGTATATGGGTTTTTTTCTCGGTATCTCCTGTCGGTGTCCAGGGGGCCGCACAAGCTTGTGAGAGGTTGAGGGTCTTACGGGAGTTCCAGGGGGCGATGAACATTAAGATAAACCCCGACGCACCGCAGAAGAACGCACGCTTCCTCACGCTGGAAGTAAGTAACCGACTTTTACCTCTCTGTCTAGAATTCCTGGCAAGCTGGCCAGAACATCACCTCCATGGGGGTCTTCCAAGCTACGGGGGAGGTGAAGGTGGACCCCGACAAGCCCCTTGAAGGCGTGAGACTGGCGGTTCTGCAGGTACGGTGAGCCAGGATCCATGTCTATATACCGGAAATATGCGTCTATCTCCGCTGCGAGTAGAAGATCTCTGATTCTCAGCTCCATCTAGTGGCCATAATGCGATATTTCTGGAAAATACCACATTATGGCCATTAGGTGGCGCTGATGATCACAGCAAATTTTTGTTATAAATGAATGGCAAAGAGTTGACCAATAAGTTCAAGTACTGCATAACCTGAGGGGGATGGGCAGGCAATTCACTGGCCTTTAGAACTACAAGTCCCATCATGCACTTTGGAATGATATCCGTCTCTTCCTTGTCTGCAGGCTCAGAAGACGTTGTTGGTTCCTACACACCTCGCCTCCGCACTGGCCTCTTCAACAGGATCACCCTCCCCCTGGGGGCCACCAAAGAGGTTCTGAGGATCTGCTCCACCTCACAGGTAGGAACGACCCTTAAATCCGACCTCCTGCCCTCCCCTTCAGTCTTGCACAGTTGTACCGCCTCCTCTCCTGGACTGAAATGGCTTACTCTGATTTCACTGCACACTGTGAGCTTCTCACAATGTGCATTAGAAGCTGCAGCAAGTCAGAGAGGGCTCCGCCTCATTTCCTGGCTGGAGGTCCTCCAGCATCATCTAAAGCCCTCTCCTCCCAGCCTGACCTGCCTATTTCATTGGATATCAGTTCTTTCAGTCATGAAGGCTCAGCATGTGGGCATTCCTGCAGCCATTGAGAAATACTGTGCGAGCTGTGATTGGTCACAGCTTGTCACATGGTACAAGGCTGTTCTGAATAGCCCTGTACCATGTGATCTCTGTGATCATTCACAGATTTTCACTAATAGTAAGCAATGATGTCAGAAGTGACATCTTGCTTACTACTATTCATGTGATCACTGATTGGCCAATCAGTGATCACATGATCGGGTGATCACTGATTGGGCAATCAGTGATTGGTGTTCCACTGTGTCCAGAGGACATGGCAGGCACCGGATCGCTGTGCCGCGCGTTCCCAGGGAGTGTGCACAGGCAGGGAAACAGGAGAACGTTTATAAACTGCCACCCGCCCCTGCACTGCTCCTGTCCGGCCATTTATGTACATGGGCCGGTGGGAAGTGGTTAATGGAAATGGAGAAAAAAAACTGAAAAAAGAAACAATAATATTTAGAGAGATACAATGTTACTTTGTATCTTTATTGGTGAAACAAGCCCATAGCAGGAATGTAAGGATTTCTTTGCCCTGGTTCTCTTACTATGGAACAGTCAGTATTGTGATGTCACAGTGATGTCATAATGTAATGCTGTGACGCCTTCTATACATTTCTGTGCTCTTGTAATGCATTTTTTTTCCAGCACAGAAAGATTTGTAGTTTCCCCCAAATAACAATGGGTTGTTATGTGTCTTCTGCACGCAGGTATTTTCTTCTCTAATTCTCCTGTGTGATGTATTGATTTTCTTATTTGCAGGGAGTGCGGGATTACAGCGTCCCCCTGGGGCTGGACGATGCAGTGCAGGTGAATCTGGTGGTGGTGGGTTCCGTGGCAGTGTCAGAAAAAGGTAATCGCCCAGTTCTTCCTCCATGATGCCACCCATAACTGGAGTAGTCCTGTGTAGGTATTTGGCTCCATTCACACTTGTGCAACTTGTCATGTGACATCAAAGTTCCATGCCAAGTTTTCAATGGCATCCATTCAAATTGGTGCGACTTAAAGTTGCAGCGACTTTGGAAAGCTTCCTGCACTCCAGAGAGTGTAAAGTCGGATCAAAGTGGCATTTCCAAAGTTGCACAGGAATTCATGCGACTTTGGAATCATGCAAGTGTGAATGGAGTCTTAAGGTGGAAAGTAACATGGAGAGTGAATCCTGATCTCCATCACCAGTGAGAGCCGAAAAGATTGTAATGTCTTTTCCAAGCCGTACTGCTCTATGTGGCTTTCATGCATCCACCGGTTCAGGCTGCACACTGCCACATCGCTATATGTACTTTTCTCTGTTTTTTTTTTTCTTTTTATATTTAACAAGTTTGCCGCCCAGCCTATAGCCAGATGGCGGCCCGGGCGAACAGCTCGTCCCTCCGGGTGGACGCCATATGGCGTCCTTTCAGGCAAGCGCAGTGCGCCTGCACTCAGTGCCGCTCTGCGGCGTGATCTGTCAACCGGCCGTGTACCTCGGACACAGCCAATGACAAAATCTGTGTACCGGCCCCGTTGCCAGTACCATGTCACCTGCTGTGACCAATCACAGCAGGTCACATGACAGTTGTATACAATGGATGGCTTCCTTTCATGCCATCCATTGTATACAAGTGTGTCTAGCTGTGAATGGTCACAGCGATCACAGGCACAAGCTGGGCCAATCACAGCCCATCTGTGTCATGTGATTAGCCGCGGGCCAAATCGCAGCTAAGCACAAAAAAAAAAACCCTGAATGAATCGATGTCATTCAGGTAAATGCTTGTTTACAGCAAAGTAATTATTTTCTATAAGCAAATTGTGTGTAAAAAAAAAAAAAAAAAAATACTGATCACTTCCCCAAAGTAGTACAATGTTACTATGGTAACATTATACTACTTTGGTCATAGTGAAATATGAAAAAAAACAAAAAAGAAATTTTAATAAAAAAATTTAAAACGAAGAAAAAATTGTCAATTTTTTTTTTTTTTCGTACGGTCACCAGTCAGTGTCCCTGATCACCGCCATGCCAGTTATATGATGACTGCACTGGTGACAGTATGTAAAAAAAAAAAATAGTAAATTATTTTTTTTAATTTTTCAAAAAAATTATGACAAAAAAATTGCAACTTCAAAAAACTCGCCATGCCTCTTATAAAGTACGTCAGACTGTCTACTCTGGTAAAAGTGGTCATTTGGGGGATATATGTACCGTTCTGACATTTGGGGGGATATCTGTACCGTTCTGACATTTGGGGGGATATCTGTACCGTTCTGACATTTGGGGGGATATCTGTACTGTTCTGACATTTGGGGGATATCTGTACTGTTCTGACATTTGGGGGATATCTGTACTGTTCTGACATTTGGGGGGATATCTGTGACGGTTCTGACATTTGGGGGGATATCTGTACCGTTCTGACCTTTTGGGGGGGGGATATCTGTACCGTTCTGACATTTTTTGGGGGGGATATCTGTACCGTTCTGACCTTTTGGGGGGGATATCTGTACCGTCCTGACCATTTGGGGGGGATATCTGTACCGTCCTGACCTTTTGGGGGGGGGATATCTGTACCGTCCTGACCTTTGGGGGGGGGGATATCTGTACCGTCCTGACCTTTGGGGGGGGGGATATCTGTAACCGTCCTGACCTTTGGGGGGGGGGATATCTGTACCGTCCTGACCTTTTGGGGGGGGGATTATCTGTACCGTCCTGACCTTTTGGGGGGGGATATCTGTACCGTCCTGACCTTTTGGGGGGGATATCTGTACCGTCCTGACCATTTGGGGGATATCTGTACCGTCCTGACCTTTTGGGGGGGATATCTGTACCGTCCTGACCATTTGGGGGATATCTGTACTGTCCTGACCATTTGGGGGATATCTGTACTGTTCTGACATTCTTGGACTTCCAAGAAATTAGATTGGCTGTCAGTACTTCAGGATTGATCAATATTCAGATCTATACCATAGTTTGTGAACTCTATAACTTTCCTACAAACTAAATAATACATCCTAATTTGGGGATATATTCACCAAAGACATGTAGCAGAATACATCTCGGCCTAAATTTATGAGCAATTATTTATTTGCAAACTTTTATAACAGAAAGAAAAACGTGTGTGTTTTTTTTTTCAAAATTTTCTGTCTTTTATTTGTTAATTTAGCAAAAAATAAAAACCCCAGTGGTGATTAAATACCACCAAAAGAAAGCTCTAGTTGTGTGAAGAAAATGATAAAATTTTTAGTTTGGGTACAATGTTGTATGACCGCGCAATTGTCATTCAAAGTGTGAGAGCGCTGAAAACTGGCCTGGGCAGGAAGGCGGTAAATGTGCCCGGTATGGAGGCGGGGTAAACTGAAGATCAGAAAGTCTGACCCTTTTCCAGAGATCACATGATCATGTGTTTAGGCCTTCTGACATGTGACTAGCACTGAAGGGAGCCTTACTACAGCAGCATTTCACCAGGAAAGGTATTTAACCCTTTGTGTTACTCTAGTACAGTGTGTTATTTTAGGCTTCATTCACATGGCTGCACTATAGTGTACCCCCTTGGAAGTGCTGTGTTTGCCTGTACTGGGATGCACAGAAGTTCCATGCAGACAGTCCCATCCATATCAATTAGGACACAGCTGCTGCTTCTGAATTGACAGTTGCACGGCCTGAATGCGGCTGTTGGGTTGGGAGCAGCAGCTGTATCCCAATTGAAATGAATAGGACTGCCTACAGAGGGATGCATGGAACACCTGTGCAGCACCCATGCGGGCAAACACAGACAGACGCTGTAGTATGCCTATGTGAAGGAGCCCTTAAAGAGGGACTCTGGGCATTTTGCTGCCTGTTCTCGACCCCCCCCCCATCTCCATGGTTTTAAAGGGTTAACTCCACTTTCATGGGGGGAAGCGAATTAAAGAAACTATATAGCACATAAAACTGGTACACAAGTCATATTGTAATTGAATGGTATTGAAATATTATCTTTCCTTTTAAAATCTGCAGCTCTGTAGTTTTCTGTAGAATGCAATATGGCTACCTGGAGGTGTTCAGTACGGGGGGAAGGGGGGGGAATTGTAAACTTTCCAAAAATTTTTTTTTTACTTTGAGTTCTCCTTTAAGTCCGGTAGTCTGTCTGCTCCACCCCACTCAGTTTGGTAACTTCCTCTATACTTCTCAGGGTGGCGGATCGGAAAAGGAGAGGGGTATGCGGACATGGAATACGCCATGATGGTGGCTATGGGGGCGGTGACGGATCAGACCATCATAGTCACGGTTGTTCATGACTGTCAGGTGAGCGAGATGTTTAAAAGGAACCCATCTTTGGGAAATATTGTTTAAAGCTGTACTGAACCCAAGGACAACATGTAATATATTGCAGAATACCAGTCCTCAGACCAAGTGACTGCAGTCGTTTTCTTTTTGCAGGCTAAGAACTATTTCAGCATATTGGATCCTGCCAGTTCATGTGAGCTGACCTGAAACACTTTCTGTTATCAACATCCTTCAGTAAACTACTAATTCCACCCCCCCCCCCCCCAATCTTAAAAAAAAAAAAGAGATGAAAAGAGGCAGATGTTTTTAAGTCCAGCCATACTGACAACTACGGCTCTCTTAATAAATACATACAGATAGGGTTGTCACTTTAGGACAGGGAGTGTGTTACTGGGGGGGATCACCAGCTGGAAATAAAGTCGGTGGGGGGAGTTGTGTAGAACCTGAAAAAAAGATAACTAGTGCAGACACCTAGGGCTGCTATTAGAAATCATGGGGTCCTCTACAGCTTACATGACAGGGCCCCAAACACCCCCCTGCAACCCCCCATTCCATATTACTGAGCACTCATGCATCTTCCAATACACCTCACTCTACATCGCCTTCACCCCACATTCTGCACCCCTGAATCCCCCATTACCTATTACTCTACACCAATGCTTTCTCCAGTACACCTCACTCTGCACCCCCCGTATCCCCCGACACACTGCTCATATTTGGGCTCTTCCCAGCTCCAGGATTTTGAGTGAAGCGTCACCTGGATAGGTTGCGCCTACTGGCCCCTGGGGCCCTTTCTGTAGTTATTGCTATGGCTCCTTCTGCACTGCTCACAGTTGATCTTTTCCATGCAGAGAGCTCCTCTGGGCAGTGCCCCCAGCCAGGGGTACGTAGGCAAGGATGAGGAGTGGGGGGGGGGACTTAGAGTCCCGTGCTAGCCTGATAGGATCTGGGCATGGGGGCTGAGGGCTGCTGTCCCCCCCCCCCCCCCCCCCCCCCGTCCCCCCCACACCAGCAGCCCAGCAGATGCCATGTTTGAGGATTGGCAAGCTGCAATATAAGACATTTTTGGTTTGGTGTTTAAACTGAAATTTGATGAAGATGTGGTTGCAGGAGCGGGATTGTGTGTGGTGTTGTGTTTTTGTTCCCTTCATGTGTTTTTGTCTGTGTTTTGTAGTACGGGGGGGGGGGGGGGGGGTACACCCTACGTGATCTTCTGGTAAAGCTGTGCTATCTGTACAAGCATTAATTGGCCCGTGTTGACTTGTATTTCTGCTTTCTAAGGTGCTCGATTTCCTGGAGGAGCTGCTGGGTGACCATGACCTGACAGTAGACTACATCCTGACACCCACGCGGGTCATAAAGACCGACTGCACTCGCCCCAAGCCAAAGGGGATCATATGGTCCAAGGTCTGTTGTGTTTGTTTATGAACAAGAAGACAGAATTTGATGCAACATTTTTTAGGAAGTCAGGTTTTAAAAAAGACGCCCACTGCGTTCAGGCAAAAGACATGGCTCACCAGCCTCCCCTTCAGTCTTGCACAGTTGTTACCGGCTCCTCCCCTTCATTCCTGCACAGTTGTACTGGCTCCTCCCCTTCAGTCTTGCACAGTTGTACCGGCTCCTCCCCTTCAGTCCTGCACAGTTGTACCGGCTCCTCCCCTCCTGTCTTGCACAGTTGTACCGGCTCCTCCCCTCCAGTCTCGCACAGTTGTACCGGCTCCTCTCCTCCAGTCTCGCACAGTTGTATCGGCTCCTCCCCTTCAGTCTCGCACAGTTGTATCGGCTCCTCCCCTTCAGTCTCGCACAGTTGTATCGGCTCCTCCCCTTCAGTCTCGCACAGTTGTATCGGCTCCCCTTCCTCAGTTGTATCGGCTCCTCCCCTTCAGTCTCGCACAGTTGTATCGGCTCCTCCCCTTCAGTCTCGCACAGTTGTATCGGCTCCTCCCCTTCAGTCTCGCACAGTTGTATCGGCTCTCCCCTTCAGTCTCGCACAGTTGTATCGGCTCCTCCCCTTCAGTCTCGCACAGTTGTACCGGCTCCTCCCCTTCAGTCTCGCACAGTTGTACCGGCTCCTTCCCTCAGTCCTGCACAGTTGTACCGGCTCCTCCCCTTCCAGTCTTGCACAGTTGTACCGGCTCCTCCCCTCCAGTCTTGCACAGTTGTACCGGCTCCTCCCCTCCAGTCTTGCACAGTTGTACCGGCTCCTCCCCTCCAGTCTTGCACAGTTGTACCGGCTCCTCCCCTCCAGTCTTGCACAGTTGTACCGGCTCCTCCCCTCCAGTCTTGCACAGTTGTACCGGCTCCTCCCTCCAGTCTTGCACAGTTGTACCGGCTCCTCCCCTCCAGTCTTGCACAGTTGTACCGGCTCCTCCCCTCCAGTCTTGCACAGTTGTACCGGCTCCTCCCCTCCAGTCTTGCACAGTTGTACCGGCTCCTCCCCTCCAGTCTTGCACAGTTGTACCGGCTCCTCCCCTCCAGTCTTGCACAGTTGTACCGGCTCCTCCCCTCCAGTCTTGCACAGTTGTACCGGCTCCTCCCCTCCAGTCTTGCACAGTTGTACCGGCTCCTCCTCCCCTCCAGTCTTGCACAGTTGTACCGGCTCCTCCCTCCAGTCTTGCACAGTTGTACCGGCTCCTCCCCTCCAGTCTTGCACAGTTGTACCGGCTCCTCCCCTCCAGTCTTGCACAGTTGTACCGGCTCCTCCCCTCCAGTCTTGCACAGTTGTACCGGCTCCTCCCCTCCAGTCTTGCACAGTTGTACCGGCTCCTCCCCTCCAGTCTTGCACAGTTGTACCGGCTCCTCCCCTCCAGTCTTGCACAGTTGTACCGGCTCCTCCCCTCCAGTCTTGCACAGTTGTACCGGCTCCTCCCCTCCAGTCTTGCACAGTTGTACCGGCTCCTCCCCTCCAGTCTTGCACAGTTGTACCGGCTCCTCCCCTCCAGTCTTGCACAGTTGTACCGGCTCCTCCCCTCCAGTCTTGCACAGTTGTACCGGCTCCTCCCCTCCAGTCTTGCACAGTTGTACCGGCTCCTCCCCTCCAGTCTTGCACAGTTGTACCGGCTCCTCCCCTCCAGTCTTGCACAGTTGTACCGGCTCCTCCCCTCCAGTCTTGCACAGTACCGGCTCCTCCCCTCCAGTCTTGCACAGTTGTACCGGCTCCTCCCCTCCAGTCTTGCACAGTTGTACCGGCTCCTCCCCTCCAGTCTTGCACAGTTGTACCGGCTCCTCCCCTCCAGTCTTGCACAGTTTGTACCGGCTCCTCCCCTCCAGTCTTGCACAGTTGTACCGGCTCCTCCCCCTCCAGTCTTGCACAGTTTGTACCGGCTCCTCCCCTCCAGTCTTGCACAGTTGTACCGGCTCCTCCCCTCCAGTCTTGCACAGTTGTACCGGCTCCTCCCCTCCAGTCTTGCACAGTTGTACCGGCTCCTCCCCTCCAGTCTTGCACAGTTGTATCGGCTCCTCCCCTTCAGTCCTGCACAGTTGTACCGGCTCCCCCCTTCAGTCTCGCACAGTTTGTACCGGCTCCTCCCTTCAGTCTCGCACAGTTGTACCCGGCTCCTCTCCTTCAGTCTCGCACAGTTTGTACCGGCTCCTCTCCAGGACTGAAATGGCTTACTCTGATTTCACTGCACACTGTGAGCTTCTCACAATGTGCATTAGAAGCTGCAGCAAGTCAGAGCTCTGCCTCATTTCCTGGCTGGAGGATGTTTAGCATCATCTAGCCCTTTCATCGCCAGCCTGACTATCCCTGGCCCACCCCTTTCATTCACTGGATTTCAGTTCTTTGAATCATGAAGGCTCGGCGTCACATGTGGATGTTACCTATGGCAGCTTGCAGGTAAATGCAACCTGCCTAGGAATGCCTACCTCCAGACCAGTGTTTCTCAACCTTTTTTCAGTCAAGGCACCCTTTAAAATTATGGACAGTCTTGAGGCACCCCATTCTAAAATGTTTGTTATAACACAACACAGCAACATCCACACATGTAGGACACCCAATATTAGAGGGGATTTATTCTTCCAAAGCAAATACACCTTTGCACACTGGTACTGACTAGTATTCCAGTGTTTCTCTTCTCCCTCATTTTTCCTCCATCACTGAGCTAATGTGACCCCCAGCACTGATGGAGAGGGGCAGGGGACAGTCAAACTAGGATGCTGTGCAGGCAGCTGACATCCTCCTTATCAACTGATGATGTCATTGGTTGTCGGGATGCCGGCAGCTAGAAAGTCATAATGGTGCACAATGAAAACCTGTGGCTTTGTGTAATTAAAAGGCAAGCTTGCTCCATCCACTGGCTTGTATACAATTTTGGGCAATTTTTCGACATTTTACCAAGGCACCCCTGAAGAAACCTCAACGCACCACAGGGTGCTTGGGCACCCTGGTTGAGAAAGGCTGCTCCAGCCCAACAAGTTCTAGAACACAGAAGGATATGGGTGTGATAACTGCTAGACAACAAAGGAGGTATGAGCATGAAAGCTGCAAGAAAATTAGGGGGGGTATTGGCATGAACACTGCTAGACAACAAGGGGGTTATAGGCCTGAAAACTGCTAGGATTCAGGATAGGTATGGGCAAAATACCTGCTAGACAATTGTAGTGTATGGTCATGAACACCGCTAGACAAGACAATGGAAGGAAAGATTCTGGACATGGGTATGGGCATGAAAACCTCTAGACCACAGTAGGGTGGGGGTGTAAAAACTGTAGGCAACAGCGTGGTATAGATTGTAAGCTCTCACGGGCAGGGCCCTCTCATCCCTCCTGTATTAATTCGTATTGTAATTGTACTCTCTGCCCTTATGTTGCGCTGCGTAAACTGTAGGCTCTATATAAATCCTGTATATAATAATATAGACACAAAAGCTGCTAGGATTTAGGGGAGAAATGGGCAAAAACACCTTCTAGACAGCCGTAGGGATATGGGTCATGAACACTGCTAGACAACAAGGGGGTTATGGGCCTGAAAACTGCTAGGATTCAGTGTAGGTGTGGGAAAAATACCTTCCAGACAACCGTAGGGTATGGGCATGAACACTGCTAGACAGCAAGGGGGTTATGGGCTTGAACACTACTGATTCAGTGTAGGTATGGGCAAAATACCTTCTAGACAACCGTAGGGTATGGGCATGAACACTGCTAGACAACAAGGGGGTTATGGGCCTGAAAACTGCTAGGATTCAATGCAGGTATGGAAAAAAATACCTTCTAGACAACTGTAGGGTATGGTCATGAACACCGCTAGACAAGACAATGGGGGGGTTGGGCATGTAAAATGCTAAAGGAGGGTATGGGCATGAAAAACATCTAGACAACAGTAGGGTAGGGGTGTGAAAACTGCTAGACAACAGGGTGGTATAGTCATGAAAACTGCTAGGATTTAGGGGAAGAATGGGCAAAATACCTTCTAGACGGCAGTAGGGAATGATCATGAACACCGCTAGACAGTGGAGGGTATGGAATTAAAAACTGCTCGGCAACAAGGGGGTATTGCAATGAAAATGGCTAAACTGGAGGGTATGGGCATAAAAACTTCTAGACAACGGTAAATTGGGTATGAAATTTTTTTTTTTTTTTTTTTTGTCTTGGTTAGATAAGCCATGAGATGATGAAGAAAATTCCGATCCTGAAGAAACTTTGGGACAAAGAACGGCGTTTAGGGAAGGATGTGACGCTAAAAGATGAACCGGATTCTTCAATGAAGAACACCGATCATACCTCCACCTCTCTACACAGCAATAGAGAGGCTCTCCCTTCTCCTGTACGACCGAAGGCAGCACACCCACCGACCGCAGAGACAGATCCACTGTCTACATCGGCGATATCCCTTCCACTACACGGGTCAGCGAACTGAAGAGTATACTGAGGAGCCGGAACGCCGTCCCCTTCCACCTCACCTGGCAGGGAGGCCAGCGCAGAGCCTTTCTGAACTACAGTGACCCCACCCAGGCGGCACTTGTGCTGGAAAAGCTGGAGGGATTAAATATTGAGGGTCACCCTGTAAGGGTGGAAATGGCTAGAGGTCAGCGGAGCAGAGGTGGCCTAGGTGAAGAGCAGAGGAAGTAAGCCAGGAAATTGGTGCATCTTATTGGCTGCCTACAGGTTGCATTGCTGAAGTTGGTGCATACTGGCCTATAAGAGCACCCGCAGCTTTAGCCACATCCTGTGCACTGTGTGGGTGGATGAGGTGTGTTTTGGTACAACGTGCACGTGCCGTTATCAGCAGTCTAATTGCATTCTTTAGTTTTTTTTATCCAGGTATTGTTGCACCTCAACCCCACCCCCTGCTGGAAGTTATTTAGTGATCCTGGAAAATGCCTGCTGGTAATGGTGGAGCACGCTCTGTGGATTCTCATATACACAAGAGTGATGTAAAAAAAGAGTGCTAAGAAGTTGTTTGTTTTTTTTGTATGCCTCTTCAATGAAGAACACTGATCTTACCTCCACCTCTCTACACAGCAATAGAGAGGCTCACCCTTCTCCTGTGTGACTGAAGCCAGCACCCACCGACCGCAGAGAGCTCCATGGTCTACCTCAACCCCACCCCCTGCTGGAAGTTATTTAGTGATCCTGGAAAACTCCTGCTGGTAATGGTGGAGCACACTCTGTGGATTCTCATATACACAAGAGTGATGTAAAAAAGAGTGCTAAGAAGTTGTGTTTTTTTTTTTTTTTTTTTTTTATGCCGTAACTTCAGAAAGTACACTCCCACTGTCCTCCTGTGGAGCAGAAGCCTAGCCTTACTACTTTTTCTTCCTCCTTCCTCTTCCTCCCCCCTCTTCTTCCTCCCTTTTTTTTTTTTTTTTTTTTCTACCTACACTTGTCAGAAGTCCTCTACTGTGTTGAAACTGATTACTCTCAATTCCCAGAAACTTTGTGACTTCATGTTATAACCCTTTCAAACTGCACAATTTATCTTGAACCCTCCTCTTCAGTCACCATTTACCCCTTCTGTTCCCGATCCGCACTGTCACTGGCCCGTCTTCCACAGATTTCAGTTATTTCTGCCATCTATCATTTTTGCTCTTCGACATATGAGGTTATGATTTTTAGGGCTGGTGAAAGTGACTGTACTGCTTTTTCCAAGCATCATATGAAAGAACACACAGCTGGGATCCCTTTTAGATGTGCATGCCTGCTGGCGATTGGGTGCTGTGGACTTTAGCTGTGCAGTCAGGTGATCAGTTGCTTGATTACACTCTAAGAGTTTGTTTATACCATGTCTGTTGTGCTATGCAAACATAGAGGCTCAGGGACTTAATGCAGGGATGGTGGGAGTTTCTCTTGATGGTTACCGGTGTGTAGACCCAGGAACTCACCACAGTGATGGTGGGAACCCCTCATAATGCACACAGCAGGTGTACAGACCTAGAAACTTGGTACAGGGATGGTGGTGGAAACTCTTCATAATGGGCCACAGCAGGTGTACAGACCCAGCAACTCAGCACAGGGATGATGGGAATCACTCATACTGGGCACAGCGGGTGCACAGACCTGGTAATTCAGTGCAGGGATGGTGGGAACTCCTCACAATGAGCCCAGCAGGGGTACAGGCCCAGGAAATCTATGCAGGGATAGTGGGAACCCCTCATAGTGGACGCAGCGGGTGTACAGACCTGGGAACTCTGTGCAGGGATAGTGGGAAGGCCTCATAGTGAGCTCAGCGGGTGTACAGACGCAAGAACGTGGTGAGCGCTCACTAATAGTCCCCAATATGCAAAAGCTGTCAAGTAGTATAACTGCTGCATCCACCAAAAGCTGAAATAATTATTTTGAGTGGACCGACCATTTAGTATATGTCTAAAAAGTTACTTTTTTGCTTTCTGTTTTTTTTGTTTGCAATAATTGCACTGCTAGAGTTTTCCTTTTCCAAAGATGGGTTAGTAGGCGTGTTGGGTTAGGTGAGCTATGGATGGATGGATGGATATTTTTCTCCTATAGATCTGATTTCCTGTGGTTTTTTTTTTTTTTTGTTATTTTTTTTTGTAGTTCTGACTTTATAATGTATTTATTGTTTTGGAAGAAGATTCTGGTTTAGGTTTCATTCAATAGATTGTCTGCTAATAAAAGTTTTACTTTAAATGTCAAAGTCAGAAAGTATATTAAAAAACCCACAATTGTCTATTTTTCATTTGATCTTCAGCCACAAAAATTTTCATTTAAATATACGCCTCAGTAGCCACAATAGATATAAATCTGCGTTGGGTGCACCAAATGACTTTGTAAAGCCAGATATTGCCTTGTATAAGTAGCAGTGACATCAGCACTATGCAGTACATAGATTGTACAGAGAGTAAAATTGTGGGAGGGGCCCAGCAGCCTCCGCCCACTACAGGCTGCCTGAAGAAAACTACAAGAGGGGGCGGAGACAAGACCAGTCACCCTGCACAAAGAGAGAGAGCAGCAGTGAGCGGTCTGTATTACAGGAAGTCTCAAACTGGATTACTTCACAGATCTGGAAAAAATACAGAAAGCTCACCGAGATTCAAGAAGAATACACGGCTGGATTTAGAATAATATTGGTTCATTCAGGAGGTCAGTGTTAAGTTGCTCAATCATGGTCACTCTCCTATCCGGGAAATCTTTTATCAGATCAAAGTAAAATATTTATCATTGCTGCTTATTGATAAAGACGGCTTGCTCTTTTAACTACTTGCCGACCGCAGATAGCCGAATGACGGCTGCACTGCGGCCGGCCAGTTCTGGGTAGGCGTCATATGACATCCTCACAGAACACGCTCTCTCCTGCGCGCCCCTGGGGGCGTGCACCCGGCGATCTTGATCGCTGTGTCCTATGGACACAGCTGATCACGTGATGTGGTAAAAGGCCAATCACAGCGGCCTTTTACCACGTGATCAGCCGTGTCCAATGACACGCTGATCACCGGGAAATGCAATTGCCGGTTCTCTGCTGCACTTTCCTCACACTGTCAGATCGTGAGGAAAGTACTGCCGAGAACCGGCAGTTGTTAGAGCAGGGATCGGCACTGATGATCAGTTCCCAGCAGTGCCACCCACAAGTTCCGCCCCACTGTGCCCAGCAGTGTGCCCACTAGCTCCGCCCACCTGTGCCCAGCAGTGCATCCACTCAGCAGTGTCACACAAGTGTGCCCAGCAGTGCTGCCAGTCAGTGGCATCAGTCAGTGCCCAGCGATTGTGCCAGTGCCCAGTAGTGCTGCCAGTCAATGCCCAGCAGTGCCACCAGTCAGTGCCCAGCAGTGATGCCAGTCAGTGCTGTCTATCAGTAGCCATCAGTGCCACCTATCTGTGACACCTCATTAGTGCCGCCTATCCGTGCCACTCCGTTAGTGCTGCCTATCAGTGCCCATCAGTGCTGCCTCATCAACGCACATCAGTGAAGGAGAAAAATTACCTGTTTGAAAAATTTGATATTATATTAGAAACAAAGAAACTTTTTTTTTTTCAAATGTTTTGCAATTTTTTTGTTTATAGCGCAAAAAGAAAAGCGCCCAGCGGCAATTAAATACCACCAAAAGAAAACCCTTTTTGTGAGAAAAAAATGATAAAAATTTCATATGGGTACAATTTTGCATGACCGCGCAATTGTCAATCAAAGTGCGACAGCGCTGAAAGCTGAAAATTGGCATGCTAAAGAGGGGGGTATAAGTGCCCGGTAGGCAAGTGGTTAAAGGAAAATTGGTGCAATTTTTCACACATGATAGACATTAACTGAATGAGCTTCAGAAATTAAATTTTTGATGCAACGTTCACATTTTTGCTATTCCATAGTTTGATGAATAGAGTGGTCGACTCCTTCCTCTTGGACCTCTAATTAATAAATATGACCTATTTATAATATGAACATCTCACACCTTAGAGCAGCCTTGAGGCTGATATACCAAAGCATGTAGTACACGCTCACATGATAAACTGAAGCTTCACTTTAAACCGCTTGTATGCCAAAGTTTGTTTATAAATGGCCTGGCATACAAGGGGTTAAAACAAGCTCACATTTGCTACTGCAGACCTGAGCATGGTACTGATTTTTAAGCCGGTTGGCTGGTTTCAAGTAAAAGTGATCCGGGCAGCTGTAGAGCCACCTGATCACCTTTTTTTTTTTTTTTTTTTTTTTTTTTTTTTTTTTTTTTAGTACAGAGAACGTTCTCTGCCCCCCCCCCCCCCCATCCTCAGCAGATTTAAATACAACAACAAATTGAAGATCAAACTCTTAGCACTTTATAATGATTTACAGCAAACAGTTTTGTTCTTTTTTGGGATAAAGGTTTTACATAAAAACTGATCATTAAACGTGTATATTAAATCCCACGCCACCACCTATAGTCTGCTTCTAATAATGGGTGGCTGCTAGCAAAAAAAAGTGTCCCCACCAATCAATCAATACATCAATAAATATATTGCTGCACCTCCCTAAAGTGCAAAAAACCTTCTCAGAGATTCATATATATATATATATATCGTAGAGAAAAAGTGCTATTACTAGCAAAGTGCAGGTGCAAATATAATCATCCCCCACATTTACCCAAACAATAAATAAATCACCTAGAAATTCAAACAAATATTGAAGTGCTATTCTTACCCCCGGTTCACATATATGCAGCCGTGTGGGCCGCGTTTTGCACGTCACGAGAGCCCATTCATTTGAATGGACTCCCGTGCCCCGTGACACGCTGGGAAAGAAATCCCTGCACTACTTTTGAAAACGCAGCCCACACGGGAACCTCGCTTCCCAGTATGGTTGCGTTCTCCAGTGCAGGCATTAGAACTAATGGCACTCGCCCGCGGGTCTGCATTTCTCTGTGTGGGTGGTGCAGCTGCACCGATTTTTCATGCGGATCCGCAGCGGCACCACCCGCACAGATCTGAAGCGGGGGTCAAAGTGCATATAATTTATGAAGAAGGTCCATAGGTACATGCAAATTTATAAATTAAAGTCCATTTCCAAACTCATGCATAGATGCATTATCCTCCACCATTCAAAATCCACGCTTACCTCCGCTAGCACTCTTTCTCTAGGAGATATATATATGAATTTATGAGTTTTTTTGCACTTTAGGCAGGCTCAGCAATGTATTTTTGGATGTATT